AAATAGTTTCTCTAGTGTGAGAAACTGATAGTGTAAACAAGGGTTAAAATGATTAAAATGAATAATTGATAATTTGAAATAGGAAAAAAGGTCCAAAGTCAAAGGAGTGAAGGGAGGAGAAGGGGAAAGGGAAAGAGGGAAAGGAAAAACTATGAGAAAAGAAAAAAAAAAAAGGAAATGAAATCTATGTAAATAGGAAAGGGTGGAGGGGGTGAAGGGCGCACAGATAATGAGGAAAAAATAAGAACCAAGATATATCCTGTACAGGTTCAAACACCCAATGATAAATGTAAACGAACTGTATACCTAAAATGTACCAATGAAAGAACTAACTAAATAAATAAAGACAGATACTAGCCACACACATAGCTATCTAAAGTAGAATTCATTGAAATAAAATCAAACATTCAGTTTCTCCACTGCACTAGTCATGTTTCTAGTACTCCAGCAACACGAGCCTAGTGGCTACTTCATTGCACAGTGCGTGGGGATATGGCACATTTCCATTACTGCAAGTTCTCCCAGACAGCACATGTGTGTGTGCTCCTACCAATGGGTGATGGGAATATCAGGACCACCAAAATGCAACTGAAGAACAACCATGCTATAAAGGTATTCTTCCAGGAATCAATTTTGTAAATATAATCTCACCCCTCTGCCACGGTCTTCTTTACTAAGTAACACAGTTCTCGCTCTCGTTCTGTGGAACGATCTGCCCACTGCAAACTTACAGTTTGGTCTCATCGGCCTCTTTCTGCATGATTTCAAGGATCATGCGGCAGGCTTCAGACGTCCCCTCCGGGGTGGCATGGATGGTGACAGGCTTCTCTGCAGCCCCAGAGTTCTCCTTCCTGTGGATGTCTACCCTGTAGGCAAGAATCAGGAGCCATGAGCCCAACATCGTCTGAGAATGGACCCTAGTCCCAAGAAAGTCTCGCACCAGCTCATGGACAGCAAGAACGTGGGCAAGGAAGCATCATCAGCACCTGTGTCACCAATGCCACGGCCCAGGGAGGAGGCAAGCAGTGCAGGGGGTCCTGTACCAAACTATAACCCTTTGCAGCCCCTCTTAGAGGGGGGACCGTTCTTACAGGGGTGCTGTGTGACAAAGGCACCGAGCCAGCTTGGAAATGAAGCCAGTTTGACAAATGAAGTCTTCTTTGCAGTCTTTCTGATGAGTGGAGACGTGAAGGGTAAAGTGAGAGGGATGATACTGCACGCTGGCATAGTGCCAATCTCTGAACTGATTGCAGCTTTTGAAAGCCATATGTTAATCCAAACCCAAACACCAAATTCAAGCAGGCTTTCTAGATTTGAGTGTGGATAGAAAACAGAGGCATGTCCTCTCTCTGCTTCTCTAAGTCTTCAGTTTCCTTTTCACTGGCAGCCTGCCTTTTTCTAGGCTCTTAAAACTAATGGCTCAAAAGCTTGAGGACTTTATCAGAGGCCTTTGGGTAGCTGTGGCCCTATTTACTTTTGTTAACTTTCAAAATCACATAATTGATTGTATCCCTTTTTACTTCAGCTGTTAGTCCTGAGCCGGGTCTTTGCCCTACTTCTTAAAAAAGGGTACATACTGGGCCGGGGATTTAGCTCAGTGGTTCTGCCGCCTGCCTCGAAAGCACAAGGACCCGAGTTCGATCCCCGGTACCAAAAAAAAAAAAGAAAAAAAAGTGGGGTACACACTTTGAGTACTAATCTCAGCTGATTAAACTTGTTCCATTTTTTAAAGTCACCTAAGTAATTTTTGGAATAAAAAGATACAAGTAAAAGTGAACTTAGTAGGAAAGAAAAGGCTGGTTTTTTTAAATAAAAGGACCAGACAGTAACTCTGCTTCTTTACTACTTCATCATTATTCTCCTAAGATTATATACTCGGAATCTCATTCATAGTAGTGTCTATACTTGGGGGTAATTTGGAGGCTATTTCTTTTTTTTTTTTTTTGGTACTGGAGATAGAACTCAGGTCCTTGTTCTTGCAAGGTGGCTGTCGGAACCACTGAGCTAAATCCCTGGCCCTAGGGGTTAATTTGGATACTCTGAAGAAAATACCGTTTTCTCTTTCACGTTGCAAGACACTCAGCGAACGACCTGAATAAAATGCACCAGCACACTCACAGAAGTGATAAGTGTTAGTAATTTGGTGCTCTACAATTTAAATGCTTTCGTATCAGTGATGTCATTCAAGGGACCTGATTATACTAACTTTCACAATAATCCCGGCAAAACATAGTAATCTTTTTACAGAAGAAGCAATTGATGCAGAGAGGTGAATTTTTTCTCAAGATCATCATACAGTCGTTAGGTGGTAAAACGTGAACATGAGTCATTGATTTCAAGTACTATACTGTGGTTTTATGAACATACTAAAATCACTAACTCCCTAAAGTCATTTTACCCACAGGCTCCTTCTACTAGTCCCGTTCCTTAAACAGAGGAAACTAAACGTAAGGCCACGCAGCAGTGACTCACCACTTCTACATGAGGATACCTAGGTAGTCTCAAAGAACGGCTACCTGATGGCTGTGACTCAGGGCAGGAAGTTAGAGCTAAGCTGAGTAGGTCCTGGACCCACAGAGCCCCACACCTTGGCTGTTCCAAGACTGCATACATTCACGGCCTGAGTCAGCTCAGGGGCACAATCCTTGGCTGTGAGGTCACCTGAGCCCTCTGTCCAGGCCTTTAGCTTTTCGGGGTGTGTCTGTTATGCTTTTAGCATAAACGCTCCTCAAGGCCCCAGCTTGCCAAGTCTGTTAGTAGTCCTGTTCAAGGTCACTGAGTCCTGCCAGCACACAGGGGACCCCTCAGAAGAAGCAAAGGAAGCCCCGGAGGCACGTACCGGGACTGGGTCTTCTTAGTGATGTTCTTTATGGTCAAGCCCTCCTTTCCGATGATGGCACCAACAAACTGGGTGGGGACCAGGATCTGCAGCAGGGAATCAATCTGTCTAGCCTGAGAAGAGCTCCCAGGGGCGTGGCCTTGCTCCCGGGAAGAGTGGTCCCCACGCTGGGCTCCCTGAGGGGGCGAAGGGGAGCTCACCTCTTCGTCGGGGATGTAGGAAATCTTGAAGGAGTGGTTCTCAAACTGATGCCCACTTAGCTTCTCCGTGGCTCTGAAACGAGCAGGGGTGGGAGAGCTTCGTCACAGAGCAGCATGGAGAACGGCTCTCCCGAGGACTCGCTCCTCTACTCCGCTCACAGCGTGTTTAGGCACCAAGGATCAGTGCTGAGCACAGTGGACTCTATCTCTGCTCCTCAGGGCTTGTAGCCACCAATTAGACAATACACAGACTTGGTCATATTTCATAAACAATTCTGCATGCGCTTTTTAAAAAACCATCTAAAGCTCACCAACAACTCTTCTTCACCAACTCTGTCAATATCAGTAGAAAGTTATGATTCATTTTTTCTAACTTTAATTCACGCTTGTGAATTAAAACAGAAATGGATAAGCACAAATTTAAAAATCCAAACCATTCTAGATCTTTTCTTTCCTAAATATAAGCATGGATTAATACTATATTATTTTCTATTTTTAAAAGTTAATACTTTATCTTGCTACATCATTAAATAATATTTCGATATAATTTTCAGTATCTGGTTTCACATGCAATAGGTTTGGCTACTGATCTTCTATCATTAGATATGTGTGCTGGGTCCAGTCCTTTGCAATTATATACACTGTCTCTGTGGGCATTTTTGTAACTACAGCTCCACACACAGGACAGATTCCCAGTAGAGTGACTGAGTCAGAGAATACCGAATTCTATCTTTACTCTCAGGTATTGCCCAGCGACCTTTTGGAAGGTTTCAATAGCTACTATCCATAGCAGTTTCAGGGAAGCATTTATGTCCCCAATCCTCCAAAGACAGAGCACTGTTACCAAACCCCGGCAACAGAACAGCATGTGCAGATGCAGTGTCCACCCAGGGGGTAGCTGGGTAAAGCCTGGAATGGTGAGCTGCTGGTGTATACAGATGCATGCAAAAGTTAACAGCAGACAAACCATTCCTTTCTTCAATGCAAAATTAATTGGGAAAAGTGTTGGCATACAAATGGGTTAAATATGCCTTTATGTGTTGAAAACTTGAAAAAGATGTACAACTATAGTCCTGGGAAGAACATACAACTGAGGTTATGACCGCCAGAAGCATGGCCAACTTGTGACTATGGTTCTTGAAATGATGACCTGAGAAGCACTTTGAGGACCTCCCACAAAAAGGAATTTGCTTTCTTTAAAAGTCAACCCCATGGCTGTTAATAGCTAAGCCAAAAATTAGCCACCAGTGAAGCAAGGTAGTAATGAACATGGATCGGGAAGAGAACGGGGACAGGAGAAAAGACCCTAACCCATGTCCTACTCTGAGACAAGTTGCCCTACTGCTGCCACTGAGGCGGATCCTCCTTTCAGTATTCATAGAGGAAAAACTGATGTTTCAGTATCTCCCCAACGAGTGTGGACAGAAAAGGGCTTGTGCATCTTCCTCGTGGTGCACAGAGGAAACTCCAGGTAAAAGGATTCCCAAGTGGTCAGGGTTTGTTGATTTTTTTTTTTTTTTCTTTTGGTACCGGGGATCGAACTTAGGACCTTGTGCTTGTGAGGCAGGCATGATGCCACTGAGCTAAATCCAGCCCTAGTCAGAGTCTGGAAGACAAGGTGTCATGGACTTGGTGGTGTCCTCTATTTCTGCCCATGCAAAGATATGTTCCCCACCTTGGTTTGGATGCCAAGGCTCAACATTTCTCATGACAGAATCTCTGTACAATCAGCAACACCCTGGTACCAGTGCCCTGACACTCCGCTGACATGGCAAAGGCTGCAGCAATATCCTGGATCTACATCAATTTGTCAAAAGCACCTCCAACTCCTTGGATATGGTCGAAGGGGACATGAATCAGCCTCCCTGGATCTCTTCAGAGCACAGGACTCAATGCAATTCCAAAGCAAAGCCAAAATAAATTTGAAAGTAAATAACGTCAAATCCACTTACATTTTTGCTTCTTCTCTTGTTGCGTAAGTGACATTGACAACGGCAGTTTCTGTGTCTGTGTTGACTAGGAAGAAGCAAAAGCTGTATTATCATTTAAAACAAAGCTGTCACCTCATGGCTCAAGGTAGACAAACCTTAGAGAGAAATGCAAGAAATACCTCACCACCTCAACTCTGTAGTTAATTGAATTTGTACGCTTACTCCTATCCTTCAAAGTAATTTGTAATCAACTGTGTATAACACATTTGTTATCAGTTGCATACACAACACAGAGCCATACTTTTCATTTATTTTATGAATACTGCTGCATGAACACTTATGTATGTCTACTTTCTTGGTCATTTCATTTTTAATGCAGTTCTGCAGTGAACAAATGTGCCATGATTTGCCTAATCACTCCTCCAATGGCAAATCTGTTGTTCCCAGTATTTGCTATTCTAAATATCATTGCTATAAATCACCTTTGTTACAAAACATCTTTTTTTTTTGGTGCTTGGAATTGAACTCAACACCTTGCGCTTATGTGGCAGGTGCCGGAACCACTGAGCTAAATCCCTGGCCCATAAAACACCATTTGATTTTGCATTTTTCTGAATTACTTCTTTAGGGTAAAATCAAAAAAGTAAGAATTGATGAAAGAAGACGATGGTTTTTAATGCATGTTTTCAGACTGCTCCCTCTAGACATTTGGATAAATATTCATTTACTTACTTATTGGTGGTACTGGGGACTGAACCCAAGGACTTCCGATTGAGCTATATATCCCTTGGTCATATTTCATAAATTCTTTTTTAATGGTGAAACAGGTCTCACTAAGACACTGAAGTGTCCAGGTTGGACTTGAACTTGAGACCCTCCTGTTTCAAACTCCCAGAGTGCGGGGATTACAGGAGTGTGCCACCATGCCTAGCTTGGAGAAACCTACTGTACTTCTACTAAGACATGAATTTTAATTTCATGATTTTCTCTTTTTGAAAACAAATGGAATATAAAATAAGAAAATGTTCTAATTTTACACACTAAAAACTGTTAATTGAAACAAATTGTATATATTTATAACATACATCATGTTTTCATATATGTATATGTTGAGGAATTACAAATGAAGCTACTTATATGCATTACCTCACATATTATTTTTTGTGGTGAGAACACTCAGCAATTTTCAGGTACATAATATACTGTTATTAACTACAGTCAACACAATGTACTTTCTCAAACTTACCCCTTCTGTCTAACTGAAATTTTAAATCCTCTAAACAACATCTCCTAGCCCCTCAATCCCCAGCCTTTGGTAATCATCATTTTATGAAAGTGCTTTATTTCTTCATTCAGTGAGAGGGCTGAATGACTGCTATTTTTTTTTGTATTAAATTCTTTTATTGGTACATTGTAGGTATACAACACAATTACATTTCTCACTGGGAATTGTACCTTTACATAATGCATCTTGGTTCTTATTTTTTTCCCCATTCCTAGCCCTCCCTTCATGCCCTCCACCCTTCCCTATTTACAAAGACTTTATTTCCATTTTTTCCATTTCTCATCATTTTTTCCTTTCCCTTCTTTCCTTTCCCCTGCCCCTCCCACTACCCCTACCCCTTTGGATCTTTTCTTCCTATTTTACATTATCGATTATTCATTCTAATCATCGGTACATTTTAGGTATACAATATAATGACATTCATCATTGGAAATTTGCACCTTTACATAGTCTCTCTTGGTTCTTATTTTTCACCTTTGCCCAGCCCTCCCTTCAACCCCTCCAGTTCTCCCTATTTACAAAGATTTTGTTCCTATTTTTCCATTTTCTCATATTAATCCCATTCCCTTCTATCCTTTCCCCTACCCCTCCCACTTCCTTCCCCTTTGCCCCTTTTCTTCCTATTTCACATTACCTATTATACATTTAGTCCTTATTTACACTTTCAGTTTCTCGCATCAGAGAAACTATTCGGTATTTACACATGTGTGTCCTATTTATTTCACTTAAGAGTATCACCTCAATGTACATCCACTTAGCTATAAATGTCTCTAATTTCTCATTTTTTATGGCTGAGTAGTACTCCATTTTATAACAAAACCACCTTTTCTTTATCCAGTCTCCAGTTGATGGGCATTTGGGCTGTTTCCAAGTTTTAGCTATTACAAACTGCACTGCTATGAACATGGGCGCACATATATCGCTGTGGTATGATTCTTTTAATTGTCTGGGGAAGAGCCCCAGCAGTGGAAGAGCGGGGTCAAATGGGACTTCCAGTCCTAGTTCTTTGAGGTATCTCCATACTGATTTCCACAGTGGTTGCACCAGTCTACACTCCCACCAGCAGTGGAGCAGGGTTCCTCTTTCCCCACAGCCCCACCAGCATTGGTTATTGGTGGATTTCATGATAGCAGCCATTCTTTCTGGAGTGAAGTGGAATCGCAGCGTTTTCATTTGCATCTCTCGAATGACCAGTGATGTTGAACATTTTTTCATGTATTTATTTGCTATTTCTACTTCTTTATGACTATTTTTATTTCCTTTTGACCAAACTCCTTGACTATCTGTGTGAGTTAAATCTAGTACCTATACACAGAAAACTGACAATTCCAAATAACCTGACGAAAAGACAAAACAAATGAACTTTAAGATTAGCCAGTAATTGATCATTCTTGTGAGTTGATGTAACTGGGTTCACAATTGTTTGCCTCTTTTTCTATAGTTAGAAACGTAAATTTTTCCACCCAGTGTGGTGGCACATGCCTGTGATCTCAGCTACCTGGGAGGTGGACCCCGGGTGACGGTAAGTTTGAGGTCAGCCTGGGGAGCTTAGCAGGAATTTGTCTCAAAATAAAATGAAAGGGGCTGAGGATGTAGCTCAGAGCTCTCTGCATTCAATCTTCAGCACAACAAAATGAGTAAGTGAAGATTTTTCCAGATAAAATTTTCTTTATTCAAATCAGAAAATTTAAACTAAAAAATTTATTTTCCCAAAATAAACAGACATAACTAAATTAGATCTTCCCTTCAAACAAGCTGTTGAGTTAAAGTACAGCTCAGTGGCAGAGAACTTGTCTAGCATGCTCAGTGCTCCAGGTACAATCTCCAGCACTTCGAGAAAACAAAACAAGCTGTTTAGAGAGTTGGAGTTAACAACACATGAAGTTAAAGATAACTCAAGAAAATCATCATAAGACTCTTTAATACAGGGATTCCTAACCTTGGATCCATGCTTGTGTTTCAGAAATTCTATAAACCCTTATCCCTCCCACTCTCCAATTGGTGGAAATGCAAAGGCTTCTGGTTTATAATCTCAAGTTTCTCAAAGGGATCTGGAATTCCTAAAGAAAGCTAAAGACTTTTGGGATAAAAATACTGTTTGTCCACTAGCATCAAAGGAGCTTCAGCCTTCAAGGGGGTTAACGAGGAGATGGTTCTCACAAGATGAACTGCCTTGTGAGACAGATCTGCAAGTCAGAAACACTGGCCCAGCCCTGGCCTCAGCTGCAGCACTCATACGCTCTCTAATCCACACTTATCCAAAGAAGTCCGCACAGTGCAAAACGGGATGCGGGGCCCCAAAGCATCCTCTCTCAGTGCAGATGCCCAGAACGCTACAGATGCCTCCTATCAGCTGCTTCTTAGGGCTGCAGATGAGGCTGTGGACTGAGAGTCCCAGAAAGGGACAGGCTTGCGCCTCCTGAACAAAGCCATCCACCAGGACTCTGCAATCCTCAGATTCTGTTCTGACCTCTTAGTCATAGTCTCTGTTCCTCTCAGACATCTGTCTTCAGGAACTCAGGCAGCTGACTCTGGAATAAGCTGAGCTCCATTTCAAACAACTTATTTCACTGGACATGAAAACTACAAGGTTTCCTAAAACTCTTCTGAACGTATATTCCTCCTGGATCACGAATCACCCATGAAGCAGGAGAAAACGACAGCTTGACACGTCTCTTCTGTGTTGGGAGGCTGCTGGAGAGGAGGCACAGGTGCCCCAGCCTGTGAAATGCCTCGGGATCCAGAAGTTTCTTCCCTTGTACAGCACTGTCCTGAATCACAATTCGGTCTTAGCCAGTCACGTGTAGGTTCCTGTCTGTGAAGTCATCTTGCCTACGATCATTAGAATGTCTTCTTTTCCATGGTGAGGGGAATCAGAATTAAAAAGTTAGGTCTTGGGCCAGGCATTTAGCTCAGTGGTTTCGCTGCCTGCCGTGCAAGCGCAAGAACCCAAGTTCGATCTCCGGTACCAAAAAAAAAAAAGTCAGGTCTGCTTTCTGAGCTTTTTTCCCTTCACCTGTGGCATGGGCAGGCAGCAGCATAAAACTGAGTAATAATATTTTTAATATTTATGGTGCAGAGAACATCTGAATTACTATTGTATTAATTATACTGCTACATTAATTATATTAATTATACTGATAGAATAAACTGCATGAGGGCCGGGGATTTAGCTCAGTGGTTCCATCGCCTGTCGCTCAAGCCCAAGGACCCGAGTTCGATCTCCGGTACCCCTCCCCCCAAAAAGAACAAACTGCATGGAAAAAAAAGGGTCTTTGGGGCTGGAGATTTAGCTCAGTGGTTTCGCCACCTGCTGCACAAGCGCAAGGACCAGAGTTTGATCCCCGGTACCAAAAAAAAAGGTCTTTGATGATTTTCCCTTAGTGAGCCTTTACAATCTGTTAAGATCATGTATGACTGCACTGTCTATAAATACCTTATTCAGGTTCTCTTTGGGTGACGCTATTCAATGATATACAGGAAAGGTAGGAATTGTTTCCCCCATTTTACACATGTGGAAACAGAGTCAGTGAGGATGAATGACTTTTCTAAGAAATCATAGTAAGTTACCAAATTTATATTCTGCTTTCCAGGTAAGGCAAAAATAATCTTTATCATGTTACTGCTTTTCACACCAGATATCTACTTCTGGAATCTACTTTTTGGGAGCTTCAGATACCTCTCTCCTACCTTTTTTAAAAAAATGATGTTTAAGAATTAGTAGTTGAATGCACATAAAAATCACTCCAGAGTGCTTGATTCATGTGCTTTCCTACCAGTCTTAGTAGGTCTATGGTGAGTCCTGGGAATCTGCATTTTCACAAGCACTCCAAGAAATTCCTGGTATGGGGTCCTACTCCCTGGGAAACACTCAGTCTAAGACATTGAGGATGTTTTTCTTAGCTAGGAAAAGGAAGGCAGCAACAGTGTAAGTCCAATGACTCTCAAATGATTTAAGCTCACCCCGGCGTGACAGTGTTTCTCCAGTAGTTTTTTGTTCCTTAAAAACCAAACTATATGGATATATTCGGAGAGACAGACAGATATAGGTATCTCTCACACACAGGTATTCCAGCATACAAGTCTAGGAAGCAAATTTCAAAGGAATATTAAATTTACCATTTTTCCTTAGAGCTGACCCCAGCCCATTAAAAATGACAGGTGATATCCCTCTGCAAAACTCAGTAGGCTAATTTCCTCACTTATTACCTTGTTCCACATTCTCCACTGTCCCATACTGAGCCAAAAGTCCATCCAATACCTGTAAAGGGAAACTTCAGTGTCAGAACAGGAAGAAAAGATCATAGTCACAAAAAATGAGACAGTGATATCCCCAGCAAATGAATTAAAGCAAAAACAAGGACAGGTATAAGAACAATTTAATAAAAATGATACTTCATGTCTTTCATAACTGAACTGAATAAATATGCAGGGCTTCCATTTGCTTACTGGCCCCTAAGTAATCTGCTCACTAAGAAAACATCACAGAATTTCTGGTCTGGGGAACTGTTAACCACCACATTCATCATGCTCACTGACTGCTCTTGAAATGAGAAGCAGAATAAAGTACAAGGCTCACTTTTCCTTCTTGGATGATTCTTCCTTCCCTTCTCTCTAGAAATTTCCTTATTTTACAAAGTAATGGGATGTATATGTTTGAAACTTTCCATAGCAAGAAAATGTTTTGGGGGCCGGGGATTTAGTTCAGTGGTTCCGGCACGCAAGGTCCCAAGTTCAATCCCCAGTACCAAAAAACAAACAAACAAAAAAAGAAAATGTTTTGGTACAGTATCCTTAAACATTCTTTTAAGGATATTTGATTTCCTTTGGGTTGGGGAATAAAACATGGGGCAGTTTGTTTTTAATGCAATAAGGCCACTCCCTCTATTCTATCTTACTTTACATTAAGACAGCACTCTTAGAAGTAGTTTTACAACCTTGAAAATATATCTTAACGGTTACTATTAGCAACTAACTCAAAACAAGAAATCTGCTCAAACTAACAAAGAACCTTCTCTATCTATTGGTTTTTCCACTGATTTTTTCTGAATCATAATTTGGAAAGATAAAAAAATCCTTTACCAAATCATGAGATTAAAAAATAACAGACCAGGTGTACATTTTGTTTCACAGCTTATTTGTCGATGCTTGGTTGTGCGGCACCTGAGAAGACAGAGGGATCAATGCTTATTCATAATGACAAGGACAGATGCAAACTCAAGCTCGAGACAGATCACTGCACCAGGGTGCTGAAAAAGGAAGAGGCAGGACCCAAAGGCTCTGCAGAAAAGTCTGAGGACCTCTAACTCCTAAATGTGAAAGGGAAGTAAAAAACAGGGAAACTGTCCTGGTAATCCATTCAAAAGTGTCGTTGGCTTACCTCCCACTGTAGGTGAGGAGGGATGTTTCGAATCTGAATTTTCCTGCTCCTGTAAAGATAAAACCATACTCTGTAACACTTTCTCCTGAACATCAATTTCAGCAAATAACAAGAACAAGCTTAAGACTACATAATGGAGTTCCCTTTCTCAATACAAACATCCCTTTCTCATTTAGGACCAAGCTCTGGTCCTGCAAAGAGGACATTAAATGAATTGGTCACTAAATGAGAATTATACATTGTATGTACCTCACAATATTCAGAACAAAGAAATTGTCTAAGGAAACTCCAACATGATGACTTTGCTCCTATTTGCAACTCTTGCATGCAGTACTGTAATGTGTAACAGCACATAAAACTACAGCACTGTACGGTACAGTACAATCAGCAAAAATCACAGTACTGTATAAACAAGGTGTGCTGTACAAAAAAAGACACTGAGGCTCTATAACAAGATGTCCAGAACTGTACCAAAAAAACAATGGCTCTTAAATCCAAACAGTCATTAAATAGGTAGGTCGTTAAAATGAGGAATATCTGTATTTATCAAGATAACCACAAAAGATCCCTACTGTGGATAATGGCACCATGCCTGAAGGTTTTCAACTACTGGGGTAGGGGGAGATTTTCTAAGAAATCCTGGCAAGCTAAAGAGATGACAATTTTTTTTTTTTGGTACTGGGGATTGAACTCAGGGCCTTGTGCTTGAGAGGCATGTGCAGCACCACTAAGCTAAATCCCAGCTAAACAATTTAAATATAGATTTACCTTGTCAATTTCCTACCAAAGTAGTTTTACTTTAAATCACCATATCGACTCTGTTCCTAGATTATCCTTTCAAAATATACGGTCCTGCAACAGGCCCTACCCCAAGGGTAGCCAGGTTCAAGCCTGATGGAGGAAATCACACGTTAGGCGCCTAAACAAGGTCAGATTTCATGTGTTTGTCTTCTAATGTCCAACGCTTTTAAAAATTAATTTTATTTCTGAATAGGTAATACAGTCATAATTCAAAAATTAAAACACTAGGGCTGGGGATTTAGCTCAGTGGTTCTGCTGCCTGCCTCGCAAGCACAAGGTCCCGAGTTCAATCCCTAGTACCCAAAAAAAAAAAAAAAAAGGTAGGTCACGAAGTCTTCCTCCCACCAGAAATAAATACATTTACTCCTTCTTTGTGTATCCTTCAGGCTGGCTGGGTGTTTTTGTTTTTGCTTTGTTTTTTGGTGCCTGGGACTGAACCTGGGGCCTTCACACTGAGCTCTTATTATTTTCAATTTTGAGACAAGGCCTTGGTAAGTCACTAAGTTGCTCAGGCTGGGCTCAAACTTGCCCTCTTCCTGCCTCAGCCTCCCAGGGTGCTGCGATCACAAATGTGCACCACTGTGCCCAGCTACCTTAAGGTTCTTTCTGCAGATACAAATATAAATATTAAATACAGACAGTTTCCTCATCCTATTTCCCACCATCCGGATGTCTCTGCATTCAGCCCATAACCTACTGATGGGCATTTGAACCTTTCCCTGGTCTTTTTATTCTGAGGCGTTCACCGAGACATTCTGCTGGTCTGACAGCCTTAACTCGTTTAGATTCTTTTTTAGCAAACATTAAACTTAGTTAGAAAAATAATTAAAAGGTAAAACTATGAGTTTTTCTATCTTTTGATACCACAGTAGATCCTGGAGAGAAGACACAATCAACATTTAGAGAAGTTAGGCAGCTCATTTAATTGAAGAGCATGACACTGAAATTCGGTAAGTATTTATTTTGGGGGTTTCCCAAAGAAGGGCCATGGCGGTCATGGCATATACCCCCATTCGCACTCTTTCCTGCTGGGCCAACAGTTCCAAACAGTGGCTGCACACAGCTATGTGTTTCCCACAGCTCTCGTCTGGGAACAGTCCCAGCCAGAAATGCTACAATTTAAGCAGAGAGAGAATGGAGAGAGAGGAGGGATAGAAGAACAGGGAAACAATCAACTTAGTCAAGTACTCCAGTTTTCTCAGATCCTTTGTGTGTGCGGTACTGGGGACTGATCCCAGCTCCATCATTGCAAGCTCCATCTCCAGCCCTTTTTTGTTTTTGTTTTTAAATTTTGACAGAATATCTCACAAAGTTGCCCAAGGTGGGCTTAGACTTGTGATCCTCCTGTCTCGGCCTCCCAGACTGCTGGGATTACAGGCGCGAGCTGCCACATCTGGCTGAGAACCTCTAACGTGTCAGGGTGGGAAGAAAGAAAAAGGAACCAATGGATTTATACCTCTATGCCATGAAGGCTGTTTCCTGATACGGCCTTTGGTAATAGTTCATAATAAAACTGGTGACAGTGTCCCATATGGTGACTACACGGAAATTTTCTATAGGAGACATGCCCAAGCCTATTAGTAGAAAAGGCATCCAAATTTTAAAAGAAAATGGAATATTTCTAAAGAAATACATTTTTATTTCCAAATATAAACACCGACTCCAGTGGTAACCAAGAATTTATTGGTTAGAAAACTCACAGTAAGAAATTCATGCATGAGCACAAAAATATTTCAATGTAGATAGCTACTGTAGCATTATTTATAAAAGATAAGCACTGTAAACAGTGTCATAAGACAAATAAATAAATCATAATGTAGTCATAATACACAATATCACAGAGCTGTAAAAATGAAGCAGACATATGTGTACTGTGTAGGAAAACTCTCCAACGCATGCTGTCACTAGAACACAGTTCATTATAAATTAAGTTGATCTTGCTTTTTAAAAGTATAAACCACTAGGCAAGGTGGTGCACTCCTGTAGTCCCAGCACTTGGGAGGCTGAGGCAGGAGGATTGGCCACCAGGAGTTTGAGGCCAGCCTGGGCGACTGCATAGTGAGTTCAAGGCCAGCCAGAACTACATAGCGAGATCCTGTCTCAAAAAAAAGTACAAACCAAAAGTATGCTATTAAACCTGCATTTATGTAAATGCACAGAAAAATAGTCACAAGCCGATCTGCTGGCTAAAAAAGTACTTTTAACTACTATCTTATTTGCTTTTTCAAACAACAGGAATACATCCATATCTTATTTTACTTGCTTTAAAATATAACTACAATTTCTAGAGTTGTTGTTTGGGTTTTTTTGGTACCGGAGATTGAACTCTGGTCCTTGCGCTTACACAGCAGGTGGTGAAACCACTGAGCTAAATCCCCGGCCCTCTAGAGTTGTTTTAATGAATACATAAGATTTAAGTATACTAGAACCTGCTAAATATAAAGGAGGTATTGGCAGTGGCGGCAGCAAATACCTCCCTTTTTCCATAATTAGGCATTCTTGCCATCTTACTTAACAGAGAATTTATTTGGCAAACCCTTCTTCAAAGTACAAAAGCAGGGAAAACTGCCCCAGGCAGATTACTGTGCACCTCTCCCTGTGATATTTCATGTTATCACGCTATTCACTTGTTAACTAGAACTGAGTTCTGGTACTACGGGACACTTAGAGAAAGCAGCTCTAAAAAAGCATAACTGCTGGCTGCACCTCTCATCTTAGATCAGGATAGAAAGGAAGAAACAGTGGAGAATGGACAGGAGATAGAGACTCAGTCAGCAGAACCAACGACCTGGGCTCAGCCGGGTCACCTGCAAGATCCACTGAGCGATTATGGTCAGGGTCAGGAGTGAGCTGGTCTCGGAGATCTGCTGGCTTCCTGGCATCATCCGGGCCCCAGGCCTCCTCGTTAGAGCCCCAGGGAGCCCTTCTCCCTCCCTGAGTGGGACTCCAATGTGTGCTTCAAGCCCCTGCTCTCCGCAGTCCCTGAAGAGCTTTCCAGAACTTCTCCAGGCAGAGCCATTTCTTCTGCACACTTCGGATTCTCTGCCAGCTCACTCTTCACTACAACTGTTTATCTGTGGCTCCTGCCCCTTCCCTGCGTCCTTCAAAGATGCCCTACTCGTTTCCTAGTCTACCATTTGGCGGGGGGTTAAGGGCTTAAGAGAAGAAAGGAGAATATGAAACCCCAGGGGCTCGGAAAAGCGCTCCTGTAGCTACCTGCGGTCTGTTCAGGATGAGACACCCCCCCGCCCCGGCCGCCCCACGGTGAGTCGTCTATTTCTTCTTTGCCAGGAAGTCAGAGGACGTTTTTTGCCTCTTTCCTTTAGAGAAGGAACTCACATCCTGCTTGGCTCAGTCTCAAATGAGAAGTGTGGCTCTTTCTCCCTTTGAAATCCATGAACGTGTACCCCGCGCTTCAAGAAAGTCAAACTTACACAATGACTCAGGAAAGCGATTGGTTTTAAGAAAATAATTCTTTGTCCCTTCAAAAGAAAGAGTAATATCACAGTTCCTTTATCTTAAAAAAGAAATTTAGCGGGCCGGGGATTTAGCTCAGTGGTTCTGCCGCCTGCCTCGAAAGCGGAAGGAACTGAGTTCGATCCCTGGTACCAAAAAAAAAAAAAAAAAAGAAATCTAGCTTCTGAAAACATATGTAAATGGCATTTGTCATCCCCACTGCCACAAAACTAGGACAGCAACCTCCTAGCTAGTCTCGTCCCCTCCGCTCCCGTCCATCCCTCCCTTGGCTCCCATTGGCTTTTTAAATCACAAACAGGACTGGTTCCTCCTGTCCACTAGTTTCTTAGGTACCAGGACTGAGCTCTCACCCACCACCGTCCACCCTATAGGAGAGTAAAGGGCTGGGGTACGGCTCAGTGTGGAGCACTTGTCTGAGAGTCCCAAGGTCCCGGTTTCCGCCCCAGCACTGAAAAAGAAGGAAGAAAGAAAGAAAGAAAAGAAAAAGAGGCTATTAGGAGCACACTTTTGATTTTTTTTTTTTTCATTTTAATTGAAAGCAGACTAAGACCTGAAGTCAAGTGGAGGGCACTCTTCAATATAAAAGGCACACAGTCCCTTTCCCATGGCTTTCAGGAATTCAGGACTGCCTGCCCTCACATTTAAGTGAACTTCAGGTTTGGGTGGGAAAAGGCAAGACCCTCAGCCTCCAAGTTACCAGGAGAAGGGGTGTGTAGCCCTCAGCATCTACCCTGGTTGGGCAAACTGGTTACTTTGGCTGATTCTCTGTTCTGGTTAATTGGTGATTACAGTACACATGTGTAGACC